ATCAACTTTCAAAGAGAGAAAGGGACTCAGAATCGAAAAAGATTTAAAAGTCTATTCACCCCCTCCCCCTCTAGACTTTTACCTCACTAGGGACCATCAAAAGTGGTATTAGAGCGATTGTTCCTAGAGTCCGTTACTCATTGATTATTTTGAACTAGAGATCCACAAAACTTCCCTACACATTTTTCAACATGGAAAACCAATTGCCAAAAACCTTCAGTTCAATCTCAACAAGTTTGATGACTGGAAGATCCGAATGCAAGCACATCTTAGTGCTTTGCATGATGAAATGTTGGAGGTCATCACTAACGGCCCATTACAGATCATGAAAGTTAGCACACAACGAGCCACACCTTCATGTGTAGATGAATACATCCCAAAGCCCAAACTCAAATAGACCAGTGAAGATAAGAAGAGAAACAACTTGGACAATATTGCCAAATATATTCTTTTCAAAGTTGTTGATGAATCCATATTTCCTCGAATAAGGAAATGTAAACCTGCGAAGGATGTCTAGGATGAACTTATTAAAATAGGAGAAGTAGATGAACAAGAAAATGACAACAAACTGACGATAGCACTCAAAAGATTTGAGGACTTTAAAATGTTACCCCAAGAAGCAGTGATGGACATGGAGTCAAGATTTCTAAATCTGACTGCTGAAATCTCTGACTTAGGGAAGATGTTAACTCAAATATTAGAGAAGGTGCTTGGACGAGAATCTGTTCATCTATTTGGTTGGGGACGGTCTCCCACTAGGTCTAAAAGAAGCAGAGGTGATTCAAATATTCCAACTTATACTCAACTGTTGGATCGTGTTGGAGAGCTTTCAGACACTGTTGAAATGATGAAAAAGTTGTTAGTTGAGAAGAATATTATGTCTCCCATGTCACATGTTCCTTCAGATCATTGTTCAGGACCGCTTAATTGTTGCTCATACACTATTGGTCGAGGCCAACATGTTGACGGCTACGAGGACTCGACTTCTGAATATGATGATATTGTGTAGAAGCAAAATTCATATTTGACCTAATAGTTTGTAGTGTGGTACTAGCTGGTTAATGTTTTATTTTGTTTGATAGTATTTGAATAACTAATACTTTGCTGAAATTGAATATTTTAGTTTGAACTATGACATTTATCGTTATTACTTATTATTCATTCCAATGTTCATTATTATTAAATGTAATTATTTGATTTGTGTATTTAATAAATAAATATAATATTTAATGAAATAGTTTTATCAAAACATAAATATTAATAGCCACACTTGCATAGAAGTCCCCCCCACAAAATAGTTTACCCACACATCTTTATGTCCATGTGGCAGCGGCTAAGATCTTCCAAGTCATATGACACGTCATCATACATTTCACACTCGGAATTCCACGTCATATGCCACGCCAGCAGCCACGCGTACTTCCACGTCATATGCCATGTCACGGGTTCTTTGCTCAAACGACCAATAACAACACATTTAAAAGTGTTTTAGCTACGCATACATGTGTAGCTATAAACAATACTACTAGTATTACCCACACATAATTGTATGTGTAGGCAGTGTAGCTAATAACATTTTCCTACGATTTCATACCCACACATGGTAACACTTATAATATGTGTGGGTAAATATTATTACCTACATGTACCTATTGTTTTACCTACACATATGAGTGTGGGTAAATGATCTATTTTCTTGTAGTCGAATCAACTCTCAAAGAGGGAAAGGGACTCAAAATCGAAAAAGATTTAAAAGTCTATTCACCCCCTAGACTTTTACCTCACTAGGGATCATCAGTGTCGATGGATATACTCAGTCAAAGTTGGTCCTAATGGTAACATTGATCGTTTTAAAGCACGCCTTGTGGCGAAAGGGTACACTCATATCTATGGGTTAGGTTACACTCACACATTTTCTCCCGTCGCCAAGATTGCTTATGTTCTTTTAATTTTATCCATGGCGGCAATGAGTCATTGGCCCTTGTTTCAGTTGGATATTAAAAAACATTTCTTCATGGTGATCTACACGAGGAGGTTTATATGAAGCAACCGCCTGACTTTGTTACGATGCTCAGGGGGAGTCAGGTTTGGTGTGCCGATTACGCCATTCATTATATGGCTTGAAACAATCTCCAAGTGCATGGTTTGGGAGGTTCAGTGTTGTTATTCGTGGATTCAGAATGATTTGAAGTGATGCAGATCATTCTATATTCTATAGACATTCTGCGGGTGATAAATGTATTTATCTTGTTGTGTATGTTGATGATATTGTCATTACAGGTAGTGGTGAACGAGGAATTGCACTCCTTAAGGAATATCTTTTTAGCAAATTCCAAACAAAAGATTTGGGAAAGCTAAGGTACTTCCTTGGCATTGAGGTCGCACAGTCTCAAAACGAAATTTCCTTCTCACAAAGAAAATATGCCTTGGACATTCTTTAGGAAACATGTATGCTAGAGTGTAGACCAGTGGATACACCAATGGATCCAAACGTCAAACTCTTGGCAGAGCAAGGAGACCTTTTGCCCAACAAAGGAAAATATAGAAGACTTATTGACAAACTAAATAACCTTACCATCACAAGACAAGATATTTCATTTGCGATAAGTGTTCTTAGTCAATTTCTTGATAAGCCATGTAACGGACATTGAGATGCATCTATTCGAGTCTTGAGATACATCAAGAAAACACCAGGGCAAGGGTTGTTATTTGAAGACGGAGGTCACCATGATATTGTGGGATACTGTGATGCAGATTGGGCAGGATGTCCGATGGATAGACGTTCTACTTCGGGATATTGCATCTTGGTCGGTGGAAATCTAATTTCTTGGAAGAGTAAGAAACAAGACGTGGTTGCTAGATGTAGTGCTAAAGCAGAATACCGTGTGATGGCCCTTGCTACATGCGAAATCTTTTGGCTGAAGCATCTCCTCCGAGAACTAAAATATGGAAGCACATAGTTGGTTCAATTATTGTGTGACAATCATGCCGCAATGCACATTGCATCAAATCCAGTATATCATGAGAGGAACACGTTGAAGTTGATTGCCACTACGATTCGACATATTTTCACAAAATATGTCAACACAACTGATCAGGATATTTTAACTAAGTCTCTTAGAGGTCCTGGAGTAGAGTATATTTTAGACCTGCACAAAAATGGGCTCAGGTTGGGCTTTTTCTAAATTTTCTGCCCATCATGTGTGGGCGGGCCCAGCCCGCCCCGCAAAAACGGGCCTAACCCCATATCCATACCCGCCCATAAGATCGCCGGGTAGTCCACCAGGCCGCTCGGCTCGGGAAAACTGTAAATTTTTCAAAATTATATGATTTTTTAATACGTTAAAAATAATGTTACAACATTTAAAAAATTGTTAATACGCTTATAATGTTCATAGACCTTTCACCACATACAAAACAATACTACAAAATAATAATGAGAAACTATATCTAAAATTTAAAATTCAAGCACAAAGTATTATCTTTAAGTACAAAAATAGATATTATATTGGTTGGGCTAGTTGTTAAGAACTAAAAATTTAAATTTAAACATAATAAAGTATAAATATGTATAAAGAAAAATTAGTAAATATAAATATACATGTGTACATGTAAGTAAATAAATTAATATATATATAAATGTGAGTAAATATAAATATACATGTAAGTAAATAAATAAATTAATATATATATAAATGTGTGTGCGCGTGGGTGCGTGTGCGTGTGGGTGCGCGTGGGTGCGTGTGCGTGTGTGTGCGTGTGTGTGTACGCGCATACCTACACACACGTATGTATACTAAATGTAACAGGCCGGGCTTGTCGGCCCGAACGTGCCTACACCCTAACCCAAGCCCGCCCATATCTTATTGTGGGTCGGGCCAAGCCTGGGCCGGTGGGTAAATATATAGGCCCAAGCCCGCTCATTTGTGCAGGCGGGCTGGGCGGGCTAGCCCAGTTTTATGCAGGTCTAGTATATTTGTAGCAAGCTTGGTGCATATGATTTATAGTTTTACACACTCCGACTTGAGGGCGAAACCCTAGTTGTATTGGGCTTAGTCTATTTTTGTACAGAAACCCTAATGCTCTAATATAGCTATAAATACAACTACTTGTATAGTATTAAGTATAATGAATATAATCATATATTTCACAATTTACTTGCATGTCCAACAATGAAAAGTCACATATGACATGTATACATTCATGAATCATGAAACAGAAAACATAGGGGAAGAGTCCCTCAAATTTAATAAAAGAAACTGCATTAAGAAAAACGATGCAGGGCTCACATCAGCACCATCTTAAGTTGCAGCCTGCAGGATATGTATTATAACAATGCGTATAATTCATCATCATTACCATTTACCACCACCCTAATTCCAACTATGTTGGGATCGGTGGTATACATTGTTTCTGAACTCTGACTGTAAAATATGTATAGAACAATATATAATGTGTATAAAAAAACAATCACCACTCATGCTAGAACCATTAAAAAAAACATCTGATATGCTCAAACGAAAACAAAAATAATAAGCATATAAAAGGAAAACAGGCAAGAGGGCTGCCCATCATATGATTGATTGCTGGTAGGTGTCAGCATATTGAGAAAAAAGAAAGAAAAAAAGAGAAACAGTTCGTGATGTCTATAATTGATGAGAATGAGATCACTCTTTGAAAGGCCTATAGATGAGAGGATGGTTCAACTGTATTTCCAAACGATTTGGGGACACACAGCTATTAATAGTGCTTGCTTGTGCACAGGAGCTGGTTGCCACTAGTAGTTCTGCTTGAGGGAAGGAGCTGTTGTTGGATGATGATGGCACATCCAGAAGCACCAAGTCCTGATCAGAACTTTCAGTGGGAAAATCACAAGAATCCAACAATAGGGAACTATTATCAGGTGGCAATTCAAACAGATGCTTCGGGCTGAAGCAACTGCCATCGTTCTCAATGCCTTCCTTCTGCTCATGTGTGCCTCTAATTGTCACCCTTATGGGAGGACTCTTCATCACACTCTTTCCTCCTGCAAGAAAGGGAACATGTTTTAGAAGTGCTTTTATATACACCGCTGCTCTGTCAATCTCCTCTCTATTAACTGTACCTTAGTCACTTAGTGTTTCTACAACTAAGAGAACTTTCATTGTTGCGTATAAGATATCAAATTGAACGTCTTTATATGATCTTTCATATGAGACCAATGTTCTATGTGTAATATTTAAAAAAATGATTAGTAACAAATCATTTAATAATCACGATGACTATTTTATAGTAGTACTCCCTCCGTCCCAGAAAATTCTTCCCACTTTGACTTGGCACGAAGATTAAGAAAGTGGAATAAAGTGGAAATGTGTGGTTGTAGTTGTGTAAGAAAAAGGTGAAATGGATGTGAACCACACAAATTGTCCAAAAATGGTAAGTGGGAAGAATTTTTTGAGACGGCCCAAAAAGGAAAGTGGGAAGAATTTTATGGGATGGGGGGAGTATATCGGAGCAATAATGATAGTTTTTTTCATCTTATATACTCATTTTGTGTTTTAAGTAATTAATACAAAAAACATTGGTATGGAAAATGTCAAATAGTTATATTTTATTAAATACTCTCTCCTTCCTTATTTAGCCGTCCCACAAAACTTTGTCATTTCCATTTAAAGTCATACATATATTGTTAAAGTTAATTCTATTTCCTCTGCACAAATTACAACCACACGGTTTTTACTTTATTTTGAAAAAATCACGTTTCCATAATTCATTTCGTCCCCAAAAGGAGTATAATTTTGAAATTCTTGTAAAGCAAACTACAAACGATTTTAATTAGTTATCTACATAGTTGTGGAAGGGTAAAAGGTGACCATTCATAACTTGAAAGTGTTTTTAAATTGATTATTAATAAAAATTTGTACCTTACTCAAATATGACTCTTTGCTTGGGAAGGAGGGAATAATATATATTTATAAATTAAGGTAAAAACAACATAATGTGTCTCTAATATCCCTACTAATGCTTTAAAGTGTTATTGTAACATTAGTGGATGGAGAAGCCAGAAGGCTCATTATAGGGAATAAGTAATGAATCCTCTCTTGATATTTTAAGGTGAAAGTTATTGCTTGCCTTTATTGCCCAACACTTTTTACCACTGTTCACTTCCTTTTTCTACTTCAGAGTTTTACTAAAGTTATCAAAATATTCAAGACTTCTTGAATTTTTATATCTTCCATAACTTCTTAAAAAACATCTTAGCCGGGGTCTTTAAAGGAACAACCACTCTATTCCTTGGGGCATATGTAAAGTATGCATACATCTCACCCTCCCCATACCCTACTTCCGAGTGGGACCTACTAGGTATGCTAGGTTTGGTTTAAGAGTGCTTCTGAAAGTAAAGAAGAAAAAAATAATACCACGTGTGGCTTAGAGGAGGGGAATGGGGGCAATTTCCACTTTCCCGGAGCTTTAAAATGGATCATACTTTTATATTATACTTTATTCACTTCAAGTGTGCAGTGGACGAGAAACACAGAACTAATGGTCCTTCTTTGTCTCCATAATAATGTAAGAGAGTTAAAAACCTTGCAGACCTGAAGGTGGCTTCTGATTCTGTTCATCTCGTGATCTTTTAATATAAACTGAGCCAACATCACCTGGCCCTCCAGCAAATTCATAGCATGTGTTGTGTTGTTTATGATTTAAACCCTATAAATAGTAAAATATGATTTAGCTAATTTCGGAAGCTTAATTGAAAATGGTTATTGAAATGAAAAAGAATTTCAAAAGTCCAATTGGATGGAAAATGATTAACAAAGCAGTCCAAGAACTCTTTAAATGATATGTGCACCCATGCTTACGAAACTTCGGAGGAGAATTCAGCTATGCTTTTAATACCTAGAAATTTAAATTAAAATATGGCCAAAGATAAGGAAAATGAAACACGCTGAACTTTAAAGGCAGCCTAAGGCACTGTTTTGGCAGCTAGTTTTGACACTAGTTCAAACCATTCTGCTTCTTAACAGACTAAGTAGCTTTCCACTTGCTTAAATGGCTGAAATGGACATTACCAGACGCTTTTCCTCTCACAATTTCAGCAGGTTGAGCCAAGACATTTCAACCAAATAGCCCTTACCAAGCAGGTCCTAAATTGAAAGGTAGATAGATAGCGAGCAGAAAAAGTTAAGAGGAACAGTTTGGAATTCATTGATAAAATTTCAGCCTGATAATGCAAATGAGAAAGCATATGACAATGAGGCGTTGGAATTGTATCTCATTAATCCTTAGAAAATGGAGGCAATCCGGCATATAACTTTGACAGTGTTTTCTCTTTGTATGAATTTTAGTGTTAACCAATTCTGGACAATTTATTATATAATACATTTCATGCCAACCCCAAAATAGTTCACTTGAATCTTACTTTCAGATCCATATAGTGCAAGGGTAAGCCGAGATGCTCGAGCTTCTGCATTTCTTCAAGGTGATCCTTTTCCCTGATATTTAAATAATCAGACAAATAGACAGTCAAGCACATTATATACCAAACTGAGGAAACCATTCAATTCCACAGATGTAAGAGGAATCACCCATACGAAAAATATGGGCCATGGATATGCAGAACCAAGCATCTTCTGCCTAGTAAAGTGTAGAAGGAGAATCTTTTGTCTAATATAGAGCTCTCTAATATCTTTGATTTAATATATTATGGCCCCCGTAACTCATTACGAGTAAAAAGTTATGACTTCTGGAAAATCAGCACTATATGAACGTAAAATCAGCAAAATTTGATGCATACTATAGATTATTTTCCAAATTTTAAAAATAGGGTATAATTCACTCAATACTTACGTGACACGACTCAAAAATAGAGCAAAGACAATATATCTTATTGCTAAGAGTGCCTATTTATCTAAACTGCATATGAAGTATTCAACTTGGACATTCTTTAAAAACGAATCACAATTTCCATTATGTATATAGGTTGAGTTTTGACCCCCTGAGCCATTTCTCTGGCTCCACCACTGAATATCAAGATCCATTTAAGAGTCCTTTTGATGAACCCTCCCCCCCACCATCCTTGACAACAAGTGTTTTCCACCAAACACCAACTGATTTTTACTTAGTTTGCTGAGTCAGCTCATAGTGAAAAAAGTAGTGCATGAGTTAATTTTTGGCTAAAACGAAAGAAAATGAAATTTGAAGTTTTGAACCTTCATTTTTCGGACAGTAGTTTCTTTAAATTATTTAAGAAAGATAGTTCCAAGCCCAACCAGCCACAAGTTCAGCATACCATTTTGAGCTTTAGTGCTTTACCGAACACGCTCTTATATAGGAAATACAATGCAAGGTTGTCACAGCGACCAGGTGACACACAAGCCTAGGAGACTTTATGAGATTGGACTGAGCATCGTGCATCGCCTAGGAGGCTAGGAGAGGCCGTCATGATAACCATGATAAAGCAGCAAATTTCTCACTCGACAGGGTTTTATCAAAGACAACATACATATTAGTACCTCTTCACTAGCTCTTGTTCAGATCCTTGACCGGTATACTTCTTGCCTCTTTCATTCCACACATTTTGTGAACTAATAACACCCTTTTTGTTATTATTATAATGATAAACATGAGTAGCCAATTGGGAATATGCCTCGTTTGTAGGGTGGTGTTTGTTGTCGACTGATAGACAACTGGCTTCAGATTCTTCTTCTCTACCTATTGCCAAAGGATGTTGAATGAGCATACTTCCATGCCCTATCTCAACACATACCATATTTGGTCTATCGCTCTCAAGAATCAAATCCTCTTCAGAAGATCCAGAAGGGAGAAAAGGTTGCTGTTCGTGCAAAATAGTGTATAGATCTTTGGTGAGCTTCTCAACTGGAGATGGCTTTGGGCGAGAGACACATGTCCGCTTCCTACACGGTACTGTTGAATCCCACCCATTAGGCTGAGCGGGACCTGGACACACAACCAATCATTAACTTATTGATGGAGGTCACTCAACAATGTATATAACAAATGTATTTATACTTTTATAAAATATAAGTTGTTACGGGAAAATTCTCGAAATAGGAGTATAAATGTTTGAAAATTCCAAAATAGAACTGCGATGTTTTTATTCCCTAAATAAGAGTAATGTATGCCAACTTTGAAAAATATTGTCATGTTTAAGTCTGGTTCTGCCAAAACATGGCAATAATAACTCCTGTTTAGGGAATAAAAACATGATAGTCCTATTTTGGAATATACAAACATTTCTAGTCCTATTTAGGGTCATTCATTTTCATTTACCCCAGTGCCGCAAAGGCTCCCACCTACGGTGGGGTAAGGGAGGGTCGGATGTACGCAGTCTTACCCCTGTACTAAATCACAGAGAGACTGTTTCCGGATGACCCATAGTGAAAATCCCGTCCAAAATTGCATGGACCGACAGCTGCTTCATAACAAAGACGCGCAGACAGTTTAGTGTGCCATTTTTCTTTATTCCATCATAATCTCAAGCCAAAAAATAATGAATCTTTGGCTCCATTGCAAATAATGGAAATTTTAGTCCTATTTAGGGTCATTTCCCAAATTGTTATCAGGGAAACAATGGAAATAGACATAGTATAGTGAAATTGCAGTGATAATTTCAGCCTAATTGATTGTCTATACAAGTTGTACAAGTTTGGGCATTTTCATGTCAATTTTACAATAACAAGGAAATTCAAGGCTAGAGTACCTCCCATGAAGAACGTTATATATGCAGGGACGACAAGCACATTTAAAGCACTTTAAATCTACATGTAAAGCTTGCAATTGGAGTTATGTGTGTCAAGTCAGATTTTTTAACAGGGCTTGAAGAGGAGCAACTAAATTGAAAACGAGGTCAATGCTATGGACCTTAAAAAGCATTATATTTATAGGGACCAAAACTATATTTAGGCCCCAGCTGGGATTGTGTTTGTGTTGCAAAAAGATCCCGTTTCTCCTAACCCAGCTCCAAAGGGCAGAAGGGCCAAAAAATTATAGTTACGGCTAGAAGCTGATTTAAAATGCTAAAAGTCACTATAATGCAAAAGTAAATCCAAGGTGAGTTTTGCATTTGAGATCTGTGCTTGAGGTTCAACATTTTTTTAGAGATTTTAAACTTGACGAAGTACTTTTCGACCTCAAAGACAAACAGTTACAAATCTCAAAAGAAATAATTGTGAGAAGTAATTCTCACTAGTATTTTTCTATATGGACATTTATTCAACCGCAACCTCAATCCCAAATAAAGCCTTAACTCTTTCAATGATTTTTTTTTTCATTTACCCCAGTGCCGCAAAGGCTCCCACCTACGGTGGGGTAAGGGGGGGTCGGATGTACGCAGTCTTATCCCTGTACTAAAGCACAAAGAGACTGTTTCCGGATGACCCATAGTGAAAATCCCGTCCAAAATTGCATGGACTGACTGCTGCTTCATAACAAAGAAGCGCAGACAATTTAGTGAGCCATTTTGCTTTATTCCATCATAATCTCAAGCCAAAAAATAATGAATCTTTGGCTCCATTGCAAATGATGGAAAATAACCCTTTCAATGATTGTGAGATAAAAATATTCTTACAGACTTCATCTAGTTGGGGTGAAGGTGATGATGAGAGACTATACCTCATGCAATTGTAATACAAGTTGCAAAAAAACACATATTGATTATGGTGAAACTTAAGAGACACGAGAACCACTGCATAGGTAAGTGTGCTTATATATAACTTACCGGTCATATCACTTACTTCAGTACCACCAAACTCCGCCCAGCTCTCAGAGTTTGAGACAGCAGAGCCGGAACTTGACCTGTTGCTTGTATCCTCAACTAAAAGCTTGTGCAAACCGTGATTATGATCAGGAGGAACTCCAATCGTTGGATCTTGCTGATAATGATTCTGCTTTCGTTTCATAACAACCTTTTCTTCTTTATTTCTAAAAGGTAATGTTTTTCCCTTAGGCCCATTGCAGGTATCAGAGTCATCGAGATCAGTCCTAGAATGCATAGGGGTATAGTTTGCCAATGTTCCTTTTGTTCTCCAACGCGACCCGCATGCATTGCATAGAACTGGCTTTTCTGGAGGCCCGTTACGCCAAAGTGGGGTGCCTAAATGTAAGTTCATTGCCAGAAACAAGTCAGAGTAGTAAGTTTAGGGAACAAATGAAGGGCAGGAAAATATAAGACTAAAACACTGAGAGAAGTAGCATAGTAGACAAGTACTTTCTCTGGTTTGCCAAAAAAATTTGTCACCTAAGAAAACTTAGTTTTGACCCAAAATAGCATCATATTTCAGCAAAAGGAACAAATTTTAATGTAATTTAAGTAACAGTGTCCCAAACAAGTCAATTTTAATTAAACCAACACATAGAATTAAAAATAGATAGGATAAGGATTTCCAATAGTTGCACCTGAGTAAACAAAATTAAAATTTTACCTTGGTGAAACACACCTCATTCTTTGGGGGGGTGTAAGTATACATTTTGAACAAAGAAAATATGATGGACTCTATATACAATGACAAGCATTACTGACAAGACATGCATTTATTTATAAATACATACATTTATGTATATAATATACTTTTCCCTTTTTGGCAGTTTTGGACTTTTTTGTACATCCTTAATGCTGCATATTCTAGAATGAACAGAAAGCGTTAAATTTGTGTGCAAGGAAAGTCAGAACATGGGTCCACATGAAATGAAAGTTGCATTTTTTACTAGCAATATAAGAATATAAGATCAAGATGAGATAATATCCTCACTCAAGGTCCACTTCCTTTAGAGAAAGTTATGATACTTGTGGCATATAAATGAAAAGCAGGGTAACTAAAAAGGGACAACTGTGCTAGGGAAAGAGCCATCATGAGAAACCACAAAGAAATAAATCAAGAACATAACAACAATATTAAAAAGAGAATTTCTCATAAGGAGAACCCAAGACCTATAAAGGTCAAACATGAAAGGTCTACTCAAAGGCAGGACATAAGTGTTATTAGGGAGAACAACGTAGCCCGATGTGTGATCAGAATGAGATTTGATTGCAACAAGTTCTACCCGAGAATATATTTGTGTCAAGAGTTAAGACCATAGAAATGACAACATCGCAACAAGCTTCCCAAAGATCAGATGATATAATGAATCATGTAAGGTTGCGGAGTGCATCTATCTAAAGAACATTAACTAACTCGTAAACATCAAGAGTCCAATTCCTGTAAAACCAAAATGCAGATTCAAGAGCACAGGGAGAGTACGTTTACTACAAGATTTAGAAATGCGGTAGAACATTAACCTAGATTGGTCATGCTCCATGGTGTGAATGTTGATTTGACAACATCAAGCTTGTGATAGGACACAGGAGTAAACCAAAGATGATCATGTTTTGGATTTTGAGCTCAATATTCCCCGTAAGAAGGTTGAGAAATGAAGGGCATTTGATGTAAACTTCAGTCACAGTAATTTTTGCTGGTTCGCCCTAATTCTAGGCAATTAATCGGCACTACAAAGTCCAAATTCAATGTCACCAACCCTGACTATGTTGGGATTAAGGTGATGATGGTGATGGGAGTAAGAACATTAATGCACCTAAACGCTTCTCATTGCATTTGGTTATGTGAATAGCATTGGATTGGTTTTCCGAAGTTTCGCAGTTATTTGAGATAGAAGCAAATTTCACACGTTCAGAGCTCCAAGCCTTCAGAGAATTAAGACCCAGATATTTCTGGGTAGGCATGGGTCATATATGTATCTATCCTATATAATGATGAATGAACGCATTGCACAAACATTTTCATTTCAGTTACTACACCATGCCTAAGCAAAGTACCGTATGCACATCTGTATAATGTGAAATCTAATATAAGAATTCAAACCCATTTACCGAAAAAGACAAGACCAACATCAGAAGCACACAATCGAAATATTCTCAATTCAATCATTTCGAATATTCAAAAAAGATGATATTTTCAAACTCACTTGTAATACCACAGTGATAGCAAGGTCCTTGCTTTCCCATATCTGTGAGCTTTTTCCCCAGAAATTGAAATAGAATAAAAAAAGACACAGCTTTATTCAAAAAGAGTTTTTCAAAGAAATGGAGATTTATATGCAACTACGACTTTGATTGTCCCCTTATTGCTCTTCTGCAGCACATATAGAAATAGTGGGTATGATGAGTTTCTTCTGCAATAAGACTAAAGAGAAAGTTTATACAGAAAATACCATACACCAAGACGGCATGGAAGACTCAGTATAAAGTCTCAGAACACCCACTGAAAATAACAGTAATTCAAAAATATTGTTAAAATTTTAAAATATATATGCATAAATCAGTCTTGTATATGAACAGGTGACAAAGGGACAGCGATTGGGGCGTTAAAGTTTTAGCTGATAATTTTCTGTACAATTCAATGGAAATGGGTAGGAACCATTGTAGGAATCTAATACTCGCAATAATAAATGGCAGGAGAAGGAAGGTGAAATGGGGAAGGAAAGGGTTAGGAAGGTTTTTCTCTACTTCTTTTTCCTAATTTTACTTTTCCTATGTTCACATTAAGCATTCATTCATTATTATTTTTTATTACTCCCTCCGTTCATAAATAAAATTCCAACTTTCTTTTTTCGTCCGTTCCAATTAAAATTTACACTTTTCCTTTTTGATAAAGAATTTGTAGTTCACAACATTTCTTACACATTTCTCTCTTCTCTGTACAACTCTCCACCACACAATATTCACTATCTTAAACTTTGTACGAAACTAATTTGGAAGTTAAAATGGGAACTGAGGTACTGTATAAAAAGCCATGACTTTTAATATATGATGCCTCAGGCCCTTTATTGTACAAGAAGCAACCTTTTGCTACGTTGTCAAATGAGATCGACAATCAACCCAGCCAAATGGCCCTATTGCGGGTTAATACGGTCAATCATCAATCATGGCCACATGTTAGTTAATTAAACACTTGATACAAAAGAAAATAATATAGGTACCACCATTCTTACTAATCACAATTATATATTTCTTCAATTCAATTTCATTGAAGTTTATCTAATAAAATATTACTAATAAAACATATGGACAAAAATGTAAGTATAAGTTCTTATATGTAAGTCGTTTTATAGTCATTATGATGTAATATTTGAATACAATTATAATCACTAAAGTTATTAGGGATCATAATTTTGTCCGCTACTCTTATTTTGGTTATATATTTAAAATTATTTCTTTTTATTTATACTTTTCAAAAAAATCTTAACCTCTATAATAAATCACACCATCTTTACTATATTATTACATGTGGAACCGTGTTTAGCCAACTCCGCTATGAGATCATTTTTTGGTATCATGTCTGTCCCAAGCAAGGATAAAGGAGGAGGATGTTGTGGTAGGCGCGTGACGGCCAACAGTATCACTTAGTCACATCACATGACATGAATCGAAATATGAATATCGCTGCAACTAGATCGTTGCCCGTAAACGACGTGTCATCCCTCTGTCTGGGGGTGGTGTCAAATGAGCAAGAGCGCGCTACACTTCATAGGCCTGGGTGTGGTGATAAGAATGCTAAGGCTGCTAGGTCGTCGCACGGAAGCGACGCGCCACTCCAATGCTCGAGGATGGTGTCAAATATGCAAGGGCACGGTGGGGGTCGATGTAGTGTGAAGAAGAGAAGGCGAGGTGCTAGATTGCGTTTTGGGACATGGAATGTTGGCTCTCTTACGTGAAGATCATCTGAGATAGTCGAGGCTATGAAGAGGAAGAATATCAGTGTAATGTGCATGCAAGAAACTAAGTGGGTTGGAGAAAAGACACGTGAAATTAATCCCGAAGGTTTTAAGGTGTGGTACTCGGGAGAGAGAGGAACAGAAATGGAGTAGACATTATGGTGGCACATGATTATGTTGAGGGTGTGATTGAAGTCTTTAGGAAGAACGGTCGCATCTTGAGCATCAAGTTGATGATAGGAGTTGAGATCGTGTCTGTGATAAGTGCCTATGCACACCACAAGTAGGATTGGATGCATCTATCACTCAACAATTCTTGGAGGATCTTGAGGAAGTGGTGCGACGAGTGCCAAGGGGAGAGAAACTGGTCATAGGAGACGACCTCAACGGGCATGTGGGCCCAAGTCATGATGGTTTTGAGAGTATCCATGGCAGACATGGTTTTGGCACTAGAAATGAAGCGGGGAAGAACATTCTCGATTTTGCCTCGGCATATGAGTTGGCTGTGATGAACACTTGGTTCAAAAAAAGAGACTTTCACCTTGTCACCTAATAGAAGTAGAGCTAATAGTACCCAAATTGACTACTTTTTAGTACAGACGGATTGGAGAACTAGTTACACTGATTGTAAGGTTATCCCAGGTGAGGAGAGTGTTGTCACTCAACATAGGATGCTTGTGCTTGATTTTCAAAAGAAAAAAAGGAGACGCACTAAGGTACAAGGGGAGCCGAAGATAAAATGGTGGAGGTTCGAGGGGAATCTCCAACAAAGTTTTTCACACAAAATGTTGGAGGAAGATGTATGGTCTATTGATAATGACGCACATGCGGATGATGTGTGGTTATCAATGGAGTCCACAGTTAACAAAGTGGTGAAGGAGATACTCGGAGAATCTAAAGGATGTCTGCACCAAAAAAGGACACATCTTGGTGGAATGATGAGGTGACATAAGCAATAAGGACTAAAAGGGAATGCTATAAGAAATTGGGCAAAAGTTGGAGCGGCGAGAACATAGAGGAGTACAAGGAGGCTAGAAGAAGAGCAAAGAAAGCTGTGAAGGAAGCTAGAGGAAAAGTGAACAAGGAATTGTATGTAAAGTTGGACTCTAAGGAAGGAGAAAAAGATATCTACAGACGTGTTCGCCTTCGTGACCGTAAGACTCAAGATATCGGGAAAGTTAAGTGTGTGAAGGATGTTGATCAAAGGGTACTAATGGAGGACGAAAAAATAAAAGAGAGGTGGAGGTTATACTTTGATACCTTGTTCAACGGGAATAAAGTTCAAAGTATTGATGATCTTACTATACGTCTATATCAAAGTGTATGGTAAATCGGAACTTCGTGAGAAGGATTCAAACAACAGAAGTTAAAGAGGCTATGAGAATGGGGCGGAAAAAAAGCAGTTGGCCCAGATGGCGTACCGATTGAGGCTTGGAGAAGTTTGGGAGAGAAAGGCATCGAGTGACTAACACGTTTCTTCAACATGATTTGGAGAAACAACAAAATGCCAGTGAGTTGGCAGAAGAGTACTCTCATTCACTTATTTAAAAATAAGGGTGATGTAGAAGAATGTGCTAACTATCGATTGATTAAGCTTATGAGTCACACCATGAAACTTTGGGAGCGAGTGGTTGAGCAAAGACTTCGTAAAAGTGTGAAAATTTCGGAGAATCAATTTGGTTTTATGCCTGGACGCTCAACAACTGAGGTCATTCATCTTCTTAGACAAGTTGTGGAGAAGTATAGAGATATTAAAAAGGATCTGCATTTGGTGTTCATTGAATTAGAAAAGGCATATGATAGGGTACCTCGAGAAGTCCTTTGGTGGGCCTTAACTAGAAAAGACATATCACGTAAGTATATCAGTATCATCATGGATATGTATTATGCTTGTACTACAAGTGCGCGCACTAGTGTAAGGAGGATCGCAGAGTTCCCTATTACTATCTGAGTGCACCAAGGATCTGCACTGAGTCCTTTCTTATTTGCTATAGTCATGGATGAACTTACGAAATCAATTCAAGAAGATATATTGTGGTGAATGATGTTCGCCAATGATATTGTATTTATTGATGAGACACAATCCAGTGTTAAAGCAAAGTTAGAAGTATGGCGACAAACATTGGAGACCAAGGGTTTCAGACTGAGCCGAAGCAAGACTGAGTATATGGAGAGCAAGTTTGGTGGAGGTAGAAGTAGTAGCAATAATGGGATTACTTTTGATGGTAAGGAGATACCGGTGTGTGATATGTCCCGTTACTTGGGCTCCATAATTCAGAAGGATGATGAATTAGATGGAGATGTATGCCATAGAATCAAAGCTGGGTGGATGACATGGAAGAGTGCTTCATGATTTTTATGCGATTGAGGTATGCTGACTAGACTGAAAGGTAATTTTATCGAACATGTCGTAGAGTGTTGGGCGGTGAAGCAATGCCACATTCAAAAGATGAATGTGGCAGAGATGTGTATGTTGCGTTGGATGTGTGGACATACCAGAAAAGACCGCTTGAGGAATGAGATAATCAGACAAAAGGTGGGAGTAGCACCTATAGAAGATAAGATGCAGGAGTCTCGTTTGCGATGGTTTGGGCATGTGCGTAGAAGACCGAGTGATGCACCTGCTAGACGACTTGAGGGGTGGGGAGAAGAGGCGGAGAAGAGAGGGAGGGGAAGATCCAAATAGACTTGGATTAGAGGAATCAGAACTGATATGCGTCTTCTTGGGTTGAATGAGAGTATGGCTTTGAAGAGAGCAAAGTGGAGGATGCACATCCGTGTGGACGATTGATGTCTTTTCTACCTTTCTTCTCGTTTTTCTTTTATCGTTTATCTTCTTTATATTTTTATATTCTTATGTTATTTTTATCTTCTAGCTTTTTATGCTCTTTTATTTTTTATCTTTTATCTTTCTTATATTATTGTGTTGTTATTATCTTATATTTATTTATCTTAACCAAGCACTCTAGCCCAGCTGGTTGTGAGGTTACCGTGCCTAGTGGGAGGTCTCGAGTTCGAATCCCGCTAGGCACACAAGGGTTTGAAACTCAATGAAGTGAGTTTCAGCCCTAATTACTCCAGCCCCCCAGACCCCCCTGGAGTAAAATATATATATATATTTATTTATCTTTATTCGTTTTATCTTACTTTTTTTCTTCCCTTTCTTATCATCTTTGTTTGGCATCGATATCATAAATCGATTCATGTTAGTTGACCCTAAATTCTTTTGAGATTCGGGCTTGGATGTTGTTGTTGTTGTTGTTGGAACCGTGTTTAGCCAACTTTTATGCGTACATTAACCTCATTAAAAGAGTTAAAAGTCATCAAGGTATTATATCGAGTTGCTTTTTTGGGTCAAATATAAAAATAAGTACATGTTTCTTTTGTTTTTATTTAATCAAAACGGTTTGGTTCTTTTATGTTTGACAATGTATAATTTTGACCTTTAATACACTACGTATTTAATTAGCTTTTAGTAAAAGCAGTAAAAACTTATTCTAGATCATTACATTGAATCAAAATTTACAATTATTTATAATGTGCCTTATTCATACATCAATAAATGAAATATTATCTGAAAAAAATACATTTCTGATCCACTAAATAGTGCCGATATTGAAATGTAGTTCATGTATTATCTAGTGTGTAATGTCACCCCTCAATTGCCTAAATGCATGTAAATGTGAGCGTCCCCCACATTGTACATGTCACCCTCAAAGGATCAAATTTACTACAATTTGGACAATTTAGGGGTGATATTTACGAACTTGAAAAACACAAGTCTTACATTTGAGGGATTAAAAGTGTGCTTTCCCAATATTATCCAAATATTCTCATAAAATTTTATATATTTTTTTGCCATATCCAAGAAGAATAAGAAAAAGTTTTTGGAAGTAATAGAAGAGATGAAGATGAGAATTATGTCTAACTTTTAGAAAGAAAGTGATGGTGTTGGATACCCGCATTGTATATTTGTAATTGAGATAGATTCTTGATTAATGAGGATTATTCTGTATATGTTGATGTAATTTGTTTAAGTTGTTTTTGAATGATACTAGTGCACGCTTGAGACATTTTAGACGTGAACACAATGTTGAAGGTTCACACAAATACATTTTGCATTTAATAATAGTTGTTTGTGATTGTTTATGACATAATATTGTGAGTATCTTTTGATCTTATTTTTTATATTTCTACCTTGGTATTTACCATTTAATTTTATACAGTTGTTCTTTTTGTACGCTCAACAACTGAGGTCATTCACCTTCTTAGACAAGTTGTGGAGAAGTATAGAGACACTAAAAAGGACCTGCATTTGGTGTTCATTGACTTAGAAAAGGCATATGATAGGGTACCTCGAGAAGTTCTTTGGTGGGCCTTAACTAGAAAAGGCATATCACGTAAGTATATCAGCATCATCATGGATATGTATGATGCTTGTACTACAAGTGTCCGCACTAGTGTAGGGAGGACCGCAGAGTTCCCTATTACTATTGGAGTCCGCCAAGGATCTGCTCCGAGTCCTTTCTTATTTGCTTTAGTCATGGATGAACTTACGAAGTCAATTCAAGAAGATATACCGTGGTGCATGATGTTTGCCGACGATATTGTATTGATTGATGAGACACAATCCGGTGTTAAAGCAAAGTTTGAAGTATCACGACAAACATTGGAGAGCAAGGTTTCAAACTGAGCCAAAGCAAGACTGAGTATATGGAGTGCAAGTTCGGTGGAGGTAGAAGCAGTAGCAACAGTTGGATTACTCTTGATGGTAAGGAGATATCGGTGTGTGATATGTTCCGTTACTTGGGATCCATAATTCAGAAGGATGGTGAATTAGATTGAGATGTATGTCATAGAATCAGAGCTGGGTGGATGAAATGGAAAAGTGCTTCAGGATTTCTATGCGATCGAGGTATGCAGACTAAACTGAAAGGTAAATTTTATCGTACAGCGATTAGGCCGGCATTAATGTATGGCGTAGAGTGTTGGGTGGTGAAGCAATGCCACATTCAAAAGATGAGTGTGACAGAGATGCGTATGTTGTGTTGGATGTGTGGACATACTAGAAAAGACCGCTTGAGGAATGAGGTAATCAGACAAAAGGTGGAAGTAGCACCTATAGAAGATAAGATGCAGGAGTCTCGTTTGCGGTGGTTTGGGCATGTGCATAGAAGACCGAGTGATGCACCTGTTAGACGACTTGAGGGGCGGGGAGAAGAGTCAGAGAAGAGAGGGAGGGGAAGACCCAAATAGACTTGGATTAGAGTAATCAGAACTGATATGCGTCTTCTTGGGTTGGATGAGAGTATGACTTTGGCATCGATATCATAGATCGATTCATGTTAGCCGACCCCAAATTCTTTTGGGATTAAGGCTTCGATGTTGTTGTTGTTGTTGTTGTTCTTTTTGTACCTTGAAAAATGTCATCAATATGCCCCTTTTTGAACTTGTGGTTATACGATGCAATTGAATGTTTGCTAATATGTTTTTGCACATTTGTCTTTTAATATATTAACATGTTTTCTCTTATCAACAATCATCGCGATTGTCATACATATATCATATCTAGAGTCACATTTGGTATGAGTTGGCTATAAGTTTTGATCATTATTACCTTTGGAAAATTACAATAAGGAAGAACAATTTTCGAACATGCCCTCAACACAACTACATTAGGATCGTGTCAATGGCAATGCATATTCAATTCAAGTCTACAAAACGCCATTAACACGGTCATGTTTGTTTACGGGTTTAGGAAGACAACTTTCAAGAAGTGTTTCCACACCTTCTTTAGTAAGCATCACCATGTTTTATATGCTTCGGCACGATCTATGAACAAGATCCATTGACAAAAAATAACCTTCTCACAAAGGTATGTATAAAGTGTGTATAAGAAAATGTGTACGAACAGAATATTTGTTTTTCTTTTGCTAGGTTAACCACCATCTTTTGAAATATTTGTAACGTTTTCACTATTCTAATTAAAAAAAATAACTTATTACAAATTAATGAAATATGTGAAAGATAAAATATATATCATTCTACAATATAAAATATCATGACTTTTAATATTTTTATTTTATAAAATTTAAATATTATCTACTCTTATAAAATTAATAAACTTATGTGAAAAATATATACAGAGTATAATAAAACACCCTTAATGTGCAAACTGCAAACCGAATATCATGTAAAATCCGAATGATTGAGATTTGAGACCTATCATTCTAAGACTTAAAACATAATGACTTTTGATATTTGTTTTAAACGATTTAAATATATTTATTCTTATTTATTCTTATTTATTTAGTGAAATTAATCACTAAATAAATCCTTTTTTTTTTGAAAAAAATTTAAAAAAGTCATATTTTTGTTTTTTTAACTTATAGTAATACTAGAAAAATTTCTCTATCTAGGGTTACCTTTCGGTAACGCCTAGTTGATATAATCCGCCGCCGGCTGTACCAGGGCATATTCGGCGCCACTGGGAAGCCGTGAGGAGAGCGGGGCTCCATTCGAGTTCTTTTGGAGCTTCGCTTTTGGATTTCTCTCTGCTTTTCTCACCGTTGAGGCCTGTTGGAGCTTCATGAGGAGAGTGGGGTTGGTTGTTGAGGTTGCTATTGTCGAGTACCGCGGACGAGTTCGGTGATGATAAGCCGTCCAATTTTAGTCCGAAAGGAAGGCAAAGCGGAGAAGTGAATGGAAAGTGTCGTCGATAAATATAGGAAGATGGCGCTAGAGGAGGCGGAAGAAGAGTTGGACCTTGACGGAATCGACGCGGAGGAGGCATCGGTGGAAGAAAGCAGGCCGGGTTTTTCGGTGGTAGGAGTACTGTTGACAGATCGCAAGGTCAGATTTCCAGCTAACAAAGAGCTCATGGCTTCGCTATGGCGGTCGGGGAAAGGACTTTGGGTCAAAGAAGTCGGGGGGAAAAGGTATCTTTTCACTTTCTATCATCGTGTGGATATGAACCGTGTGCAGGTGTGCTTCAGGGAGGAACTTAGCAGTTTGAACGTAATTTGTTGTTATTGAAAGAAGTTAAGCCCGATGACATTCCTCATAAAATTGTTTTAAATGAAGTAGATTTTTGGGTTCAAATTCACAATGTTCCTTATAGCCTAGTCAATTTAGGTACTGCCAGAAGACTTGGGAATTTTATTGAAAAATTTATTAAATATGATGAAAATCAAAACAATGGTAAGTGGGAGACTTATATGAGAATCATGGTTTGTATGAATGTGGACAAATCCCAGAAAAGAGGAACTAATTTTATGAAAGATGGCAAAAGCTTTTGGGTAGACTTTAAATATGAAAAGTTCCCCAACTTCTGTTTTATCTGCGAACTAATTGGGCATTCAAATAAATTCTGCATTTAAATTATGAAGAAGATCTAGTTCTGGAAAAAAAATTGCAGTCCACCTTAGAGCAGGTAGCGAGGGGGAGACGAGTCCTACAGGAGGAAGTCATTGGCTACTGGAGGGTTCATCGAGCTCTGGCAGAGACCACAGGTATGAGGAGGGTAACAAGTCTGATGACAGATTAGGGGTGGAAGGAGAGCATAACAAAGGGAGTGGGAGGTGAGGCAAAGGAAGAATCCGCAGGGGAATGATGGGAAGGAGGGCATGACTCTTGATGGGACAAAAAATGAGGAGGGGCGAACTTCGACGAGTAAGTCCACCTAAGTGGATACAGAAACATACACAAAAGATTTGGGTACTAGTGCAGATGGGTACTAGTGCAGATCAGCAAGTTCGAACAACAACTCGAATTTATCAGTTTTATTTTTTCTTTTCAAACAATTGGGTTTGTTTTATGTTTTGTTTTGTTATTCATTTATGTAAGACGATTGATTTGGATATAAGATGAGAGAATTGGAATAACGTCTTCGGCTCATTTGTGCCCATTAATGAATCAACGAGTTATATTGCTTATTGAGGTAATAACTCTGAATCTGGTTCATGAAACAACATTGTCAATATACTCATACTCATGAAAAAGGGTTGATCAAATAATGCACCAGCTTCGCGAAAAAGTGAAGCAGGGACGGACCGTAGTACAGACCCAGGGGGGTTACCGCCCCCAACAGAATTTCTTTTAGTGTATATATATACGAAAAATAAATTTTGCTCTCCCAAAAAGTATTTTGAACCCCCCAAAAATATTTTCGCCCCTCAACATGACTTTCCTGGATCCGCCCCTGAAGTGAAGGGTTTAGAAATGATTTTCATTTGATCCGGAATCTTCATGTGTATTTAATGAAATAAAACTGTCAACAAATAAGTTAGTTTTCAAAACAAAACCAGATACACAAAAATAGAAAACAAATTAATGAAGGCTTAGAATGTGTTTTGTGGTTTTCCACAAAAAACAGTAAATCAAACCCTAAAGCATTACACAAATAGATAAGCTTGAAAAAGTTTTACAAAACACAACATATAATAAAAGTTAATTTAATAAACCCCGAGGCCTGAGCTAGTACACGGAACAATAAAAACCTTAAATCAAAGGAAGGTGTATAGACAGACTGAAGTCAAGCTTCCAAAATTAAGCAGAACGTTGAAACTTCTAAACCAACCATCATCAACAAAGGTGTGAGTATGACATTCAGCAGTATAAGACTGCATAACATTTGGAAGCAAAGTTGGATTGCCGAGCCAAGTTTATGCACAGCCATCATGATTTCACCAATACCTCAATTTCTTCTCTTCCTCTTCTTCTCCTCTTCCTTCTCAGATGCATTCTTCAACTGCAAAAGAGAACGTTTTAGCCTAGTTTGTTTAGCTGCTCTTAGCATGTTTGTGTTTGCGTTTCCCCCTGTTTTAATCCCTCCCTATATCTCGCCCCTTTTATAAGTTTGGGAACACAAACTAAAGCAACACTAAATTGTGTTTTGATACTTGTGATACGCAAAGTTTGAATAATTTTAAGCATTTGACCATATATGGTACTCCCTCCGTCCCGGTCATTTCTTCCGACTTTTCTTTTTGGGCCGTCCCAATTAATTCTTCCAACTTTCACTTTTGGAAAAAATATGTGGTTCACATTCATTCACCTTTTTCTTACATAACTACAACCATACATTTTCACTTTATTCCCACTACCTAAATTTGCGATACCGGTCAAAATCGGAAGAAATGACCGGGACGGAGGGAGTATATGGGTATGTGAGAAATACCTAGAAATGCCTGAAAATAAAATTGAAAAAAAAACATTATAGGATGGACAAATACTATACACCCTGTTCTTGAATACTTGGCGGCATTTTTTCAAAACTTTATTTGTTTCTAATTACTCAATTTCAATCTTCCACACTCCATTGCAATAGTACAGCTTGCAATATTCTTAAGGTATCGTGAAAATATATAATGAAGGCTATTCACATTACTAAGTAAGGGCCTATTCATCTTCTCCTATTATGTCTACATCTTTTAACAATATCTGAACCCGTTGAACACTTCATAACCTCCTTCTAGGGAGAAAAATAGAGTATCCGAGTAATTTTTTTCCTACCTGCCTAATCGAACAACCAGCAAACCTCTATCTACTCTCAACATGCCTAACCACGTGCAACTTAACTAACCCAAGTAACAGTGATTAAAACAAATTCTCTGCAATCTTCACAGCAATGAACCCAGTACTTTCTTTTGTTATTAAGTAAAAAAAATTAAACATATTGGCTTACCATGATGATAAGAATCCGGACAAATACAGCCACAAAGTCTGTGAATAGAGTGAGTGCGTGCTTCACATAATCCAGATCACCATAGTGTGCCTTCTCAATTATAGTCTGGGTATCAACTACTATGTATCCAATGAAAATCAAAAGCCCAAAATACAACTGCAAAGCAATGTTGATTCAAAGTCGGAGTTGCTTACAAAACTACAGTTCAATTCTGTTTAATGATAGGTGACTGGGGTGAGTATAGAAGTAAAAAAACCTCAAACTTGAAAAGGACTGTAGAACCACCAAAGATGGAGGATGCGAACTGCATCCAGAAAAGGAGTGAAAGACCAGATGAAAGCAACCCCCCAAGGTACAAGTACTCTCTTCGCCTTGCCACCATGGCAGCTGCCGAGAAACACCCAAATGCCAAAGCACAACCAACAATCGCACTAACAAGGATGCTGAAAGAACAGAAAACTTGACAATCAGTGATCAGTCACCCTATCTCAAGTTAAAAACTGGTTCTACGTGAAAACCTTTGCCTTAACTGGTTGATCATACGAAAAATGAATGTGATCAATCAAGGTCCCAAGGTTAGAAATAAGCTCAGGCTTAGGTTTATGCATTGAAAGCTTGGAAAATCAAGCCACATCAAAGGTAATATTTGGATAGTTTCTGTGGGACTGTGGGAGAACGGTGTAAGGAAATAAAACAAGGACAAGAACTTTTACTTTCCTTCCGTAATTTTCTTTGCTTTTTCGTATTGATGTAAAATACGAGATTAAAAGAAAATAATATGCAATCCTAGTTTGTTCTCTCTCCAAATTGGAGAGATTTAGTTGGCAGGTAATTGACGAATCTTTCCCCTCCTCACCTTAACTTCCACTTGAATCCAAAAGGGGAAATTTGGTCATAATCACAATATTCCACAGTTATCTGCCTCTATATGGAGGGCAGCTTGAAGCAAAGGTCATCATTCATGACGCATAGTCATTTGTGTCATTTTCACATCGCATTTGCTTTTTATTACGTAGTATCTTATTTCTCATAGTTCAAGTCCAGTACCACTATGAAACTAATATGATGAATATACCAATCAAATGATCAAGACAGAAGATGTAGAACTTTTGACACAATACTATTTGACCCTTAATAATGTTCTTGAAGTCTTAACATACATTGAATTGGTCAAGGTGATCGACATTTTAAAGAGCAAAGGAGGATCAGGGTCAGTCCATGTGACTGAATAGCTACGCATTTAACCAGACAGAGAAAAGGATTGCCAGACACACCTGGAATCAAAGTCAATGGCAACCTTAATCAGAGGACCGATTGAGGCTCCTTCAAAAAGTGCCGCTGCCATTAGAAGTGCAACCCTTTTTTGCTGCTTACCAGAAATACCAAGAGAAATAAAAAATTAGCGATCAAGGAAAAAATCTGAACAGGACAAATAACTGCTCTGAGAGAGAGGAAGTGAGGAACTAACTCAAATACCTCTTCATAAGGAGGACAAGAGATCATCCAAGCAATGCTTCCAATGCATCCTATAGTAGTTAAGATACCACCAATGTTCCAGAGTACGTGAAGATAAGCACCAGCTGCAGATGCTAACAAAGCACAGAATAGTGCAAGATAAACCTGTCATTGGGAAATAAATCTCATCAGAAATGTCTCGAAAGTTCATTAACATAATGAATTGTTGTATAATGAACTTCTCATCTTCAACACAGGGTTTTAAAAAGAATATAGTATATCTTATTTTATCATCCCATCACAATAAACACATTGAATATCTATTTGACCACATGAGTTACACGTTGGAAGAGTGCAAATTTCTACAAAATATATATGTGGAGTCTGAAATACAACTAAAAACGTTCGGTTTCCCTTGTTTAATTTCCTTGATCAAGACACCACTAGAACTTGAAAATCACATGAAGCCCTACAACCCATCAATGATCACATATGCATTTACTAATCAATCCAATTGCACCGTTGTATGGTTATCTAATTCCGTTTCCTTGGATCGTTGAGAACTTAAAAGAAATTGAGAGGTACCAATCCATTGTAAATCGCACAGAACGGGAGTCGACAATCATTTGAAATTTAATAACTATGAACGATAAACGAAAAATAAATCAACAGGAATAAACGAAGAGTTGGAGATCCATGAGTTAGGGTATGATATGCGTACCAAAAAGTTTCTCAGTACTAGAAACGTGGACGAAATTACACAAACCTGCTTGAGGTGATTTTGAACGACGGGAGAGATCTGGCGGAAGTTCTTGAGAGAATCGTAGCTCCAACGGTTCGGAGATTCAGGATTACAAAAGGATGTGAAACCCTCCATTCTTTCGGCAGGAAACGAGCAAAGTGTATTGCAGCGAGACTATTATTATTATGCAAGACCGACCAATACTTTCGGGTTTGGTATCGTTGCGCGCGACGCGTTTATATGCCGATTATACTTTTCGGGTTCCAGCACCTTCAGGAAATTACGAGAAGGAGGAATATGGTTTTGTCCATAGCATAGCATAGCCAACAAAAACAACATTTAGAAATAATTTAGATAACCATACAAAGGTGAAATTTATATGGTTTTCTTACTATAGTCTCACCTTTTGATTATTCAGAAATAATCTAACCTTTGCACTCCATCTTCATTCAATGATTTATGACCGGTTGATAACCTGTTATTTCAAGTTATTTTCTTATCTTTGCAATATATTAACCATAAATCTCACTTTATGATCACATAATGTTTTGCAAAGATAAGAAAATAACTTGGAACAACAAGTCATCAACCGGTCAGGAACCATTGAATGAAAATGGGGTGCAAAGGTTGGATTATTCCTGAATAATCAAAAGGTAAGACTACCGTAAGAAGACCGCTAAAATGTTGGGTTATTAGTTTCCATTTTCCCTTATTTAAATAAAAGAATCACATTACATCATAAGAAAAGGTCAAACATTTTACAAGAACAATATTTTGAATTTAAAATTTCCTACTAGTGTATTAGCAATGTCATCCCTCAAATTCATCATATATTGTGCTCTATGTACTTCTTCTCCAATATCTTCACCTTCCTCTTGTGCTTCATTGTTGATTATGCTATCTGATGCGATTTAGAGAATGAATTAGGGTCAAAAACTTCCATCCCTATTCCATTGTGAATACAAGTGTATATATACATGGTAATGACCGAAAAAACATAAACCATTGGCTCAAGAAATAAAAAACTAGGCTAAAATACAATAATTAATATACAAGCCCAAATATGGGTCTAACACTATGCAAATTAAAGAAACTGAAAAATCTTCAGAAGCTATAAAAATGGAGTTAGTTGTTGCCTAATAAACTGCAGAGACTTCTTAGCAAGCAGCGCAGTAGCTTTTTGTTTTAGAAATTGCTCTAAACAGGAGCAAAAACGTTTTGAAATTCCAAAATATGAGTATTATGTTTTTTATTCCCTAAATAGGAGTAATCTGCCAAGTTTGGAAAAAATGCCATGTTTTAAAGTCTAGTAATGCTAAACTTGGCAGAAATTTACTCCTATTTAGGGAATTCTCCCTTTTTGTTTTAGTGGTGGTTTTGAAAGCCACCGTCAATATTTTTCTTGCTTTGCTCCAGAAGGAACTTGAAAACCATTGAAGTGTGAGAGAGAAGCTGCACTTGACAAAACATCTTCAAGTTAGAAAATGGAAACACTAATGGTTAAAGATATGACTAAAAGCAAATATGACAAACATTTAAATAAGAAATTTTTAAACCTCTAGGCCATACTCGAATCGTTGGACTGAACTTATTCTACAATCAGCATTCTGATCTTCAATAACTTCTGGCAAGACAGTAAGCATCTCCAAAGCAGCGATCTTGCCATCATCTTCACTTTGCAAATTGTAGAGACTGTAAAAGAGCTTTTCAATAGGTTTTCCATGTTCCGCAGCCCGTATTATGAGCATAGAGAGAGCAAGACAAATTTGTGTCAACAACTTCTTTAACATGAAACAGTCTTAGGAAAATATCAGGGGAATTTTGAGTTTGCACCCCACTTTTTGGGTGATATTGAAATTTGCACCCCATTTTCAAAACTTTTAGACTTTGCACCATATCTACAACATTTTGTGAAGAAAAACTCCTGAATGGGGTGCAAAGGCAAAGACATTTTAGGAGAAAATAGGGTGCAAAGTCTAAGAGTTTTAAACATGGGGTGCAAAGTCCAATATCACCCAAAAAGCGGGGTGCAAAGTCAAAATATCCCAAAATACTACTCGTAATACATTATCTTGGATGAGATATATATATACTAATACACATTATTATTCCTGTCCAAAAAATGAGTCATGTTCAATGGAGCAAAAGGGGTCATATTTCATTAAAAGAAGCTTACTCTTCATGTAATTTCCAATAAATTGTCAAGAAAGTTCGCAACCAAGCATTTAGATAAACTGAATTAAATTTTAAAAATTAAATATGATATCAATATTTTTGACAGTTGTGTCGCACAATAAGTAGAAAATTAACTTGGCATAACAGAACTCCTCTCTGAGATGGAAGAGAATTGTACTATTGTATACCAAACAGTGGATTACCTGAGGAGGTCCTGAACTGTATCTTCTTGCAGCAAATAGAAGAGCATTAAGCAGGGCGTCTTTGGCACCCAACTGCAGGTAGCATCCTTCATTTTAGATCTGTATGGTCAAGAAACAACACCAAGCTTGTTACAAAGACACATACTGACATACATAATGTGTTTTATTTTAAAAGGTAAGAAAAAGAAAAGGGAAAGAAAGTACTTTCCCTTTTATCATAAATCGACATCGCTTATAAATTCAGAATGAACTAAATGCATAGGAGGTCCATACGGTGATTTATCAACGACCGAATCAAGAATACAACATTGTATCTACCTGTAGCCAATTGCCAGTACTTTTGGATCAGCCAATGCTCAATGTGAAATGGTTGTGGTAACCAATAATTGAAATATTTGTACTTCTGTTAGTTAATACCCGAAAGAAGTGATTGGTATTGAAGCACCCCAAGCGGACAAGTTTGAAGTTGTGCTCTACTGTTTTTGGGGCAACACTAGGGTAAAACCCAAATTCAATATCCTCGTAGTTTGTCTGCACTCAAATCAAACAATTCGTATCTTCTTGTCTGTTCAACACTGAATTTCCGCAATTAGCAACAGAATATGAACCTGAAACACAAGACGGGTCGAGCTCATTCGGGGTTCTGCCCCGAAGACAGAGCCGAATTGGTACGAGCAATAAAGGAAAACAAAGCAAGCAATGGAGATGGATCCCATATGAACACAGAAGCCTGGGGTGATTGTTGGCTTCTAAATCTCAACTACATGTACCTCCCCACATGAACACACAACATGGTCAACATCAACTTCATCACCCCAATAATAAATATAAATACAGATTACATATACATCATGAATTCTTTTTTTCTAATATTAAATGTTATACCAAAATCCATAGAACAAATCAATTTAAATTAAAGAAATTTTGCCCTGATTTCTATGAGTAGTATATTTTCTAGAAAAATCAAAACTAATAGGATACAATAAATGTTAAAAAGCAGATTGAGTATATAAAGAAATATATATTTAGAGTAGAAACCTGAATGAGTAAGGCAGAGCTTTCGTCGTTGCTTTTCATAATAAGTTGTTGGCGATGGAATGTCTTCCGAGCGCAAGTGAGGTCGGCGGTGAAGGGGTGGAAAAGAAAGCATGTAATTGATGCAGTATATGGCCCAGGAACCCCCGGCCCATAGACTCCTACTATTCTGGTAAGGGCCCAATAGGCCCAGGGGGCACAACAGGCCCAAAACACAGCGCCCCAAGTACTGAGCAACCCACGCAGCACACTGGGAGGGCCTTCGCCCCCCTGGCCGAAGGCTCCAGATTCTCACAGGATGGCCAATGCAAGCGAACAGAATTACTGGGAGAAAACAGAGAAAATCAGTAGCCCTCGACACCTAGAGCCCTCGACACAAGGGGGTCCACGGTACTCAGAGCCCTCGGCTAATCACCTACAGCCGAGGGCACCTTTCTCGACATAATATCCACTCCACATGCGCCGGAATCACCGTACCAAGTACGACGTCACATCCAACAGCCGCATTAAATGCGGCCACATGTGATTGCCAGCGCCAACCAGTTGATGTGACCCCTCGGCCAATGGATGCTTGACATGTGTCCCTATCTGGCATTTATTGCTACTATAAATAGCACCTCATTTCCCCATTTGTAACCGGAAGAGAAATACGCTGAGTACATTTCGAATATACACTCTCTCTCACTTACTTGCTCTGACTTCTCTCTAGTTATTCCCCGCAATAACCCCTCGGATAAGCTACCCCCCGGGTACACTATCCATCATTTGGTGCTCTCGTTGAGAGGTTGAATAATCAAGTAAGAAACCCTCCCCTCTCCGCCATCCAGTCGGCCCCGGGGTCCTTCACCCAGTCATCTATCGAAGACTCCACGACCGAGGCCGCCCACTCCTGCCTGTCCTCGGTTTTCCAGCCCTCGGCCATGAATGCTGCAACAACATCTTCTCGGGCTTTGGCGATGGCCTCGGCCTTGGCGGACTCTGCCTCCTCGGCAGTTTTCTTGGCAGCCCTCTCGGCTTCGAGCCTGGCCATCTGCTTCACGGCATCAGAGTTCTTCAGGACAAGCTCCTTCATCTCCCGATCCTGCTCCGCTTTCTGGAGGCGCCATTGCTCGAGTCTCTGTGCATGCTCTCTGAGGGTTATGCAAGCCTGATAATCAACAGGCGGAGGGGTTAGATAAGTATTGGAAATGCATAAAAGGTTAACACAAAAGCAAATGAGAAAACTTACAGCTAGCGAAGAGCGAAAGATCTTGCTCTCGAGGGCCTCATCGTTGTAAGTCGAGAGGGCGGCCTTGTCCATCGCCGAGGTGATTCCCCTCAGGAAGGCCTTCGGCTCTGCTGAGCCATGCATCACAGAAGCCCCCGGGGCCAGGGAGAGTTGGGGGATCTCCCGGGGGCAGCTTCCCAGGGGAAGATCAGTCTGAGCGGTCGCCGCATTACCAACCAGGGGATCGGGAGAAGGGCGATCCTCTATGATCACCAAGGGGGCATCCTGGCCAGCAGTATCCCCGGGACCCCTCTATTTTTTGGCAGGGGGCTCAACTGCCTTGCTGCTTTTCTTCTTCTTTGAGGCCCCCTCGACCACGCCAACAACAGTAGCCGCAGCGGAGGGCTCAGTTGCCTCCTTCTGGAAGAAAGCCTCAACGGGCTGCTGGACCGAAGGGTCCTTCTTTTGGGCTTGGGCCTTGCCCTTCTTCTTCTTCAGAGCAAAAAGCTTCCCGGCGTCCATGTTCGCACCTGCAAACGACAAAAAACAGTTAGACCGAAGGGTAAGAGAGCGTGAACAAAAAAAATAAAGAAAGAAAAAATCCTAAGTACAAAATAAGGAGCC